TATGATTTTTTGAGTCGAGTATTACTTGGACTAAGACCAAGGTCACCCAGAGTTTGACCCGGAGTCACGATAGGACCAGTATGACTGATATCACTGCTTATTTAGGTCATGTTAGGCTTCCCGAGTAGGAACCTCGGAATCAGTTCAGTTGATGGTTTTAGGTGGTTTGATGGAGTCAATCAATCGTTCTCTATATGCGTTCCCAAGTCCTCCTTATTCCGACTAAATGACTATGCTTTGTGCATAATATATGAATTCCTACACGCTTCCACCTGTATTCTATTCCATTACATAAGGAATCATTATCTGAAAGAGAGACGTTTTCGTAATAATCCAGCAGCGGGACAACCCCAGGCGGTAACAACAATTAGGCGAAAGATATTAGTTCTATTGAATGCAATTATTGTTATTATTATTTATTATATTATGATTATTATAATATTACTATTATCAGCGAACGACCCCCAAGCTATCTTGCAAAATGTCCAGGCATGAAATGAGGCGGCTGGTTTGAAGTTAATAGACACTACACTGCGACGGCTAAAGTTACGCAAAAAAGATCGGTGCAGATTGATTACTGTTAGTGCTTACAATATTACTCATATTACTCAACTTTCCTGATCATTATTTGGGATATTCTCAGGCACACAAACCGGAAAATCTAACACGAACTACGTGACCGCGAAACCTGGTGATGGATTTCGCACGCATACTTATGGGGCGAAACGCGCCAGTTAGAATCAATCGTGTGCACCAGTGGTAGTGAGTACCGTGATTCCGGTTTCAATGGATTTGTAAGTTGCAAAATCCAAATATCGAACTAATCACATAGTTCCCAGGCCTTGTAGTCCATCTGGATACTGGGAATTCCTGAATCGAAGCGAATGGGGTATAGAGAAATCTTTGCTTTTGGTGCCATTTAGGATTGAAATGGCACATTGCCAGTAGTTTCGATTTGAAACCCGATGTGCCAAATCACATCACGCATTCTGTATTTTGAGCAAAAGTGGTTTATAAATAAAAGGATGAGTGGAAATATTACAAAAATGAGGGGAGGGGCTGGATAACTGTACCAGTCGCGCAGTGTTCTGTCTGGAAACAAGTTGCCCAAGGAATACTAAGAACGAAAACAACGACACGTGCAAAAGTAGTCCTTTTTCTGGAATGTGCTTTAGTCGAAATTCAGTGTGACAACTTACAGGCGTGCATTCGTTCAAATCATGAGGTAAGACCGGTCGGTAGTGCAGATTTAAGCGCTGGCGAATGTGAGTTCGCCGGTGAAGATGGGGACGGAATTTGAATGGAAGTGTCAGCCAAAATTAGTTGATCCAACGTGATTTGGGACAGTTGAGAGGAAAGTTCCATCCACCACATATCGCCCTCAGTTTCCTGGTCACTATTAAATCGCAGTTGGACGGGAATTGGTTTGATCACGGTCAAACAGAAAGGACACCGGGCTTGCAAAGCGAAATCGTGATTGTTCGGGAGGCGTATGGAACACCAGTATCTGGTTGCATATTTTTGGATGATAAAAGAAAATAAACAACTAGCTTTTATTGCATTTTTTCTATGGGATTTTGTTACCAGGGAAAAAATGGGTGTTTGAAGAAGTTCTCATGAGTCACCTTGTATTTTATGTATATATATATATTTTGATTTGACAGCACGTTGCACAATACCTCACATAAAAGACATTCGCGACTGTCGCCACTATATGTTTATCTCGATGATCATTCTACAGCAGAAATCTCCATAGTACCAATTAGCAGTCGTTTAGGGTGGTGAACTGCGTGTGACTCACTTCCATTCCTGTTTGATTCCTTCAAATCGATCAATTGATTGTCGTGTTCCAACCAATTCCTGCTTGAAACTAGTCTTAAAACCTATGAACATCGATATTCATCGTTTCGATTCGCGACGAAAACCTACCCTATACAAAGCTGATTTGAAATACTATCACTTATAACCGCAAACAGATAATAGTGATAAGTCAATCAATGATTTCTGCCTCATTTGTTAATGAAGACAAGACAAACTGATCATTGTGTTGTGTTTAATTTTCATATCGACAAATGCATCCTAAACATTTTACAATGGCACCGTGATTGGCTGAGGAAGATAGTAAACGCTTGTAGTCGATATGAGTGTCAAAAGAGATCAACACGATTAGTGAAATTCTTGCACCGACTTCAGCTTGTGGCTACACCTTCAATCTGTCAGTTTAAAATTGAAGTAGATGAAACTGAGGCACAGTTCAACGACAACGATAACATCGATCTGATATGATTGAGATCAAACAGTGGATTTTGTCGTGCACAGGGCAAACGAAGCGTGAAATGAAGAGCTAGAATACATTGAACAGCTGTTTCAGATTGATTGGCTTTTATCAGCATTAGGAATCTATCGGGTCAAATGGTGATAGAACCCAGGACCTCACAGTAGGAATGCAAGTATACTATCCACTCGACCACCGAGCAACCATTGTGATATGTTTAAATAAGAAATCGCAAATGTTTTTTCGTGAGCTATTATGCAAAGACATGTCACATATTGGCACAAAATACAACAATGTGAACCAAGATTAAGTGTTCAGTTGTCCAGCCTTCACAGTTTGTAAAAATTCAGTTATGTTGCATTGCGAAAAACATAACTACAAGTAAGGCGGTGGCATACATAAGAGCTTATGAAACTATGCCCGTAAATGTGAATATAGGTAGACGTTCAAACTACGCCGGTTTAACATCAAGTCTATATTATGTTATGTTACTAGGTGTTTGTGAGTAGTCAAATTCTTCAGTTGACATTTACAAGTTTGCAGATAATTGAACATGAGTTGGAGCACTGGATAAAAAGGTGAGACGTTAGCTATGCACACGGAATGTCAGAAATTGTCATGAGATACATAGTGAATCATGAAAACCAAAGGCTTTGAGAGTGTACGAGGTAAAACTAGGTGTTTTTAATAATTTGAGCTGACTATCCTTCGAACTTCACCTTCACGCACAATCTGCAGTTCATCGATTCAAACATCCACTCGGAAGCACTAGATTCGAGTTTCGATCTGATTGGAGCTCATCAATAGTGTATATCCACCGTCCCGTCCAGGGTTTGAACTCTGGACCCATCGCAGGTGTCGTCTTCAGTGATAGTCAGTTCAGAGTGGCCCGACAGCAACGAACGGAGACACAGATGACATACTGTTAACTACCATCGAAAGCCTCCCACCAAGTCAGGATTTCCTTGCGGGTACGGACTGATTCGCCAACGAATGTACAAAGCTGGATCGACTAAAGATCAACTAAGTGTGTTTATAAAATCGTGCAGTAGGTTGAATATTGGAAATAAAAAAAATAGATCCAAAATATGCCTCTTAGAGAAACAGATCAGGTTCTAACAATCGGATTTTACACTATAACTCATCTTATTGATTAAGATAGGCTCCAAATCGTAGACTGGCGAAGTGTTGGCAAGTACCGCCTGTGCCGAAAAGACAAAGTGACGTTTCGGGTTGCTGGAAAGCTTCAACAGCGATATAACATTTCCAGAGTCACCACACTTAACTGAAATCATCATACATACATACACACATACAGTGAAGCGAACATCACTCGTCGTTACTAAGCGATCTCTAGTGGTGATCATCAAGTTCGCAACGTGTTACAATAGTTCAATGAGTGGTGGGACTTCAAACAGCAAGTTACGTCCCCTAAAACAGACAATCGCATTGCAAAGCAGACAGTGTTATCGAGCAATCCAAGAAAATTATCATGGAATGCTGTTCAGTTAACAGTAACCCACTAGGTGCTAGTCTCGAGTCACTGACATA